CTGTTGGAATTTTCAACTTTTTTCTTCGAGTTTTGGATAGCCCCTTGAAAATCTTGAGGGTATAAAAAAAAATAACGAGAAATCCGTCAAAAAAGTATTTGCATAACAATGGCACTTTGATTAATTCGTGATTAATTAATTAAAAATCATGTTTATTATTTGTTTATTGTTTTTTGTTTGTTTATTATTAAAAAAATGTCCTTTAAAAATGAATTATTATGGTCTCATATGAAATTTCTGAAGTTAAAATGAAGTTATGAGAATAAGAATAAGCATGTAAATAATTTAATAAATGTACAACATCTATCTCGACATGCTCTGTATTTTTCTGAAGTATTCATTCACCATTCCAGGTCAAATGTTGATAAACACATGTTTGTGAAAAAAAATTGTTCGTGAAAAATTTAAGTATGTAAGTTTGTATTTAAGTATGTAAGTTTGTGAAACCAAATAAACAAAGAGAATGATGAATAAAAAGAATGATACTCATCTCTAATCATCTTAGTCATTTCCAAGAGTTCACGACTTTTCAACTCACCAAAAGGGGAAATATTGTGAATTTCATATGAAAAATTTCGCTAAAAACTCATGAAACCAGTCCCTCAAACTAAAAACTTTTGACAAATATTCTCAATATTATCTTACCTGCCTCGGACATGTGGGAGAAAACTTACCTTAAGTTTCATCGACTATTATTTTCGTTAAAAATAGATTTTCATTTTTTTGAAAAGCAATAACACCTCCGCAATAATTTCTTTGACTACAGCGATTCCAAAGCATGATTTCACGTACGAGCCTATGTGATTTCAAGGATATCAGTGATGACAGTAATTTGATTGATTTCACGGATCATTTCAGCTCGTAGTGACACCATCATTCCAGGAGCTACTAGCCCCTCAGCAATATTAAAGAAGAAAATTAACGAAAAATCCCTCCAGAGAAGTGGAGGCATTAATTACAAGGATTAATTGAAAGTTGATTGTGACTTTCTTTCCATTTTTGGATAGCCCCTTGGAATTGGTTTCGAGGAATACTAAGGATGAAGCCAAAATCCGCCCAGAAAAGTAATTGCATCAACAATGGCAGTGAATAACTGTTAAAAAATCGACTGGCCATGTTTTAAACTTTTTTCTTCGAGTTTTGGATAGCCCCTTGAAAATACTTTGAGGGTATAAAAAAAATAACCAGAAAATCCGTCTAAAAAACTAATTGCATTAACAATGGCACTTGATTAATTCCTGTAAAATCGACTGTTGGAATTTTCAACTTTTTTCTTCGAGTTTTGGATAGCCCCTTGAAAATACTTTGAGGGTATAAAAAAAAATAACGAGGAAATCCTCCAAAAAAGTATTTGCATAAACAATGGCATTTGATTAATTCGTGGAAAATCGACTGTTGGAATTTTCAACTTTTTTCTTCGAGTTTTGGATAGCCCCATAAAAATTCTTCCGAGGTAAAGAAAAAATAACGAGAAAGTCCGTCCAAAAAAGTATTTGCATAAACAATGGTATTTGATTAATTCGTGGAAAATCGACTGTTGGAATTTTCAACTTTTTTCTTCGAGTTTTGGATAGCCCTTGAAAATACTTTGAAGGTATAAAAAAAAATAACCAGGAAATCCGTCCAAAAAAGTATTTGCATAAACAATGGCATTTGATTAATTCCTGTAAAATCGACTGTTGGAATTTTCAACTTTTTTCTTCGAGTTTTGGATAGCCCCTTGAAAATACTTTGAGGGTATAAAAAAAAATAACGAGAAAATCCGTCTAAAAAAGTAATTGCATTAACAATGGCACTTGATTAATTCGTGAAAAATCGACTGTTCGATTTTTGAACTTTTTTCTTCGAGTTTTGGATAGCCCCCATGCACAGATAGGTGTTTATAAAAAAAAAATAACGTTTCATAATGAAATTCAATTTCGGGCACATACACATGTGCGCCCGACGCCGTCCCTGACTTACCGCTGTAGCGCGCTCGTGATTGGTCAACTTAAATTGTTCATAACTCATAATTTATTCATTTGATTGAAAAATGGCAAAGGAACTTTCTGTTTCAAATTCCATCCCCTACCCCCCTGTCAAAGGAAAACTCGTTGACCTGGGACACCCTGTATGAGGTCATATGGGTAATATAGAAATCATAAGAGAGTCATATGGGTGTCACTATTCAAAACAATAGAAAAAAAAGTAATAAATTTCAAAAGTAGAGAATCCATTCGGAAACATTGCTAACTTGTTAGCTACATAAACTATATACCCATCTACAGAAAATACGATTATCCACTTGTTTTTCTTGTTTGCACTTGATATTGCTTCAGCAATGGATTAAATTTAAATGAAACCTACGAAAAATTTGTCGGTAATTGATGAATGTGGGAAATTGTCGGTGGGAAAATTGTCAATGGATACAATGGATACATGTCCGTTATTTTGTCGCGAAATTTTATTCGTGGATCAAAAGTCACATAACGAACACGGAGGATAATTTGACGCACTTGATTGGTCTATTCAATGATGGTTCATTCTTATGATTGTCTGCTCGTCTAGACCATTTGACTCATCATCCATTGACTTTTCCTGATGGCCTTCTTGTCTCTGCTCTTCAACATATGAGATGGTGAGACCTTCATGATTACCATGCCTACACGCGCCAAAATTTGACCCTTATTGTTTGACCGTTCTGAAATTTACTGCACTTTCCTGTTTCACCTGAATGCTCGTTCAACTCTTCATGTTGCCCTTCTGGCCTTTGCCATTTCCCCATTCCAATCGGTTGATCCTTCTCACCACGTTTCTTGTCTTCTCCCTTTGACTCTAGAGATGTATTATGATTTGAATGCGAGTTCTCCCAATGCAGATGACGAGCTTAGACTTTAATCTGAATTTTCCTTCTTTTCATTAGAACACATTTTTTTTCGAAATTTTGATAAAAGAAATATCGATGTTTGAGACCGAAACATCAAAAATTGATTAACCGACAGATGAATACATAAAAAAATATCGATGTTATAAAATCATCGATGTTTAGACAAGAAGGATCAATATTTTCGATTAATTGTCACACATCGTCGATTCCGACCCGGAACGGACTAATCAGCGTTTCTGACATACAAACAATTGACCGTGGCTGAATTGACATGGAATGTCTCATATACATGGGTCAAATCAATAGCATGACACCTGTCCCATTTCACTCTGAAAATTATTCACCTTTCGTTTCCATGTTCCAGGACATACGAATAATTAGACCCGCAGAAAATGCAGCAACACCGATCAGAAGTGCACATAATCCACGAGGAACAAATCCTGGAGGCAATCGATCAACTCCGTCGTAGAAAAGCTCGTCCAGACGCTGATCGAATCTGTAACTACCTCCTCCGAAAATTTTCAGTGGACGCTAGGGACACCATCGCTGACCTGCACCGGTTAATCGAAGCTGAGAAAGTCATTCAGGTGGATTACAAGGGGAACACTAGCTACAGGAATGCTTCGAAATGGTCTCGACTTCAGCTGTATAAAAACCGTCCGGAAGGATTTGTAAAAGAAAAACTGAACTCAAATATGATGGCCTCAGCCTTTGCAGAGCTTCTCGTGGAGGAGCCGGACTACCTCGATCAAGGAGTCCCTCCATTCCGCCTGATCGAACAACTCCTTGACGGTATCAGCAACCCCACATCCCGAAAAATGGTTGAGGACTTTTTGGCTAAAGAAGTCTCTAGTGGAAACGTAACGAGGATGAACAACGGTAACTACTCCTTGGTAGGAACAAGTGATGTTTCCAGCAACACATCACTTCAAATGGATAAGGAAGATGTTGATATTTCTGATAAAAACCCCAGAAGGTATTCTAGTGAAACTGGAGACTCCGGAAAGGACTCAATACATAAAGAATCTAATTCAGATTTTTTTGGATTTGATGATGGAGGAAATTGTGACTCCAGAAGCGACAATACGCCTAGATCGTCGAGGCAGGCCAGCCCAAAGGATGATCATGTAAAGGAGGGTGGGTTTGATAAGTTTGAGGAGAATATTGAAAAGAAAGAGCAGGAAAAGGAGAGGGAGAAAAAGGGAATAGAGAGGAAAGAGCGGGAGAAGATAGAGACGGAGAACGAAGTAGTTGTGAAGGGGGACGAGGGCATGAGCAGTGTGAAAAGGTCGAATAAGGGTGAAAGGAAGCAAAGGCTACTGGTGAGGCCTGATGATTCGATGGATTTGGAGATTAAATTTGAGGAGGAATTCGAGGGCGGTGATGAGAAAGAAAGAAGGGAAATGAGACGACATGATGTGGAAGAAGGGCAAAGTGAGGAGAGGGAGGATGAGGAGACTGGGAGGAGCAGTAATAATCAGTCTCCAACGGGAGGGACTGTTGGAGGATTTAGAAGTGCTAGGAGGAAGGTTTGTTTTTTTCTCAAAATTTATTATTCCGCGTCGTAGATTCAAGAGGTTAGGAGTCGACTTGTTCAATAATGCAACAAAACTCCGATGAACAATACTAATAGAGCTGTAAATAGACCCAATTTGCATTTCGCGAGTGATTGTTGACGTACTGGTGCCTAATTTTTTTTCTTTATTGATAGATATTAACATATAGATTACATTTGGTGAGCGGTTTTGGCATAATAATTGAAAAAAATATGAATGGCGGAAGATATTTAGACTAGAAATGTTCTCGTGTACGTAAACTAAGTTCATAGCTGAATTTCTAAAAAAAATGTTCAAATTCTCCGATTCAGAGATTGACAATCCTGATTCGTTGTAAATCTTTGAAATGATCATAATTTCTTCACAGATCTTTTCAGATGCATTGTGAATAATTTTCGTTTTTTCTTTCTTAGAGAGCAAAAAAAGTGTTCGATCCCTCCGACACTAATATCCCTAAACGTAAAAGAGGAAGACAACCCCTCGCAAGTAAAACTGCTGTTCAAGCATCTCATGAGTATCAGGAAAGTCCTCCAAAGACCACTACCAAGGAGGGACCTAATAGACAATGCAGTTTATGTGCCAAGGATAAATCGGAGTCACTCGTTGCATGTCGTGACTGTACAGTCAGAGGTGAATCAAGCGTCTCGATATTGGTGGAGATATTTTCATTGAAATTGTTGCTATTTTTAGCTCATCCAAGGTGCATTTGGAGTCCTGAGGACTTAATTCACAAGGTTGGAGCCAGCTGGCAATGTGAGAGATGTAAAACTTGCAGCGTTTGCTGTGAAACTTCCGAAACTGTAAGAGAAATAGCATTTTTAACTTCCCGACCAAAGGGAGGAACATTTTGACACAGGTGTGTGTGTGTGTGTGTGTGTGTGTGTGTGTGTGTGTGCGTGTTGGGTGATCAAAATTTTGTCCAATGACATCTAGGTGTTATTCTCGTAAAACGTGTGAAAATAATTAAAAAATGAGTGTCCTTTAAAATCCAACACTTTTACCGCGAATAACGATGGTATTTGATTTTTTTGTACGATCAGTGCATCTAAACTTTATAACCAAAAATTGAGAACCCCCCTCTTAACGCCCTAAATGTTTCAGCAAAAATTCGCCATCTCCCTTAGTTTCAAAGATATTCTTGTAAAACTCACTGACGAACTAAGTCGTCTAAAGGAGCGGGGGGGGGGGTACTGAATTCTCGATGTAGAACCCCCCTCCCTACAGGACCTATATATGAGACACACAAAGGCACCTCTTCGACAGTGTACATCGAGAATTCAGCGAAAAATCAGCTTGAATCAAACCAAACAATCAGCTTGAATCAAACTGAAAAATTGATCTGAATCAAACGAAAAAATCCACTTGAATTAGACCGATATTCCGGTTTCCATCTGTCCGAGTCCGACTTGATTCAGATCGATTTTTCAGTCTAAGTCAGACCGACTTTTTTGGGTGTACTCAGCAAAATCATCTCAACCGTTTTCACGTTATTCAGATGGAAATTTTTCAATTTGATTATTTTTCTAACTAGGCAGGACGCGTGCGATCAATATGCTATGTTATGAGATCAATATATGTCATTTTTTTCATTCTCATTCATATGAAGTTTCTGTTCTATAACAACTATCCTATGAACTGGTATATGAATAGTCTCATTCACTTGACTGATAGTTATAAAAGAATGCCAAACCAAGCTGAATTTACAAGAACCTTATGAAATTCCATTTCTGAATAAAAACTCGGCGGTAAATTTTAAGGAATTTGATATACTTTCGCCTGAGCATAAAATATCGATACAAATTTGGGCAGAAACCGAGCAAATCTCGTCATTAAGAGGAAAACCATGAAAATTTCAAAATGTGACATTCTAAAATCGCTACATTATCGTGTAAAACAATTGATGTAGTGGATGAAATAGATGATCTAGAATATTAATTTGAAGATCTCGATGAGACCTTCAAATTGACATATGATTTATCCACGCAGGTCATATCTAAAGCCACTTTGTGCCCTAGTGGAAAAACCTAAGGCAGAGGCGTAACATGCCTGATGAGAATTTCGGATCGGACTTGATCAGTTTCTGATCGAGACCTGAACAGAATTTCCACTCGGGTGGTCCGCTTCCTGGTCATGGTGGCATCGCAGGCTACCGTCACCATTCTCATGATGTTGTGTGCCTTCTCAGTGGCATTGCTGCTACTGATCGGGCGATCATCTAATGCTGCTGAATAGGAGCTAGGGTCAAAAGTGCTCACTCTCCAGCCAATGCAGTTGGTCTTTTTAGGTGTTAAGGCTGTTCTCTCGCCAGTACACGTCTGCCAAAGTATTGCACGGTGGTCGCTTGCAGTTTCAATATCAGATACTCTCTCTTTCGCAAGAGTGCTGCTCAGAAAGATGAGGTCCACGATTGAACTTGCTTCCTCTCATGAAGGTTGGTTCGTCGCCGCTGTTCAGCAAAACCACGTCTAACGCTGCCATAGCTTTCAGTGCAGCTTGTCTACTGCCCAGACATTGAAGTCTCTGGCTATTGCCACGGGAAAGTGCTGTTTCACATCTTCAGCCAGTCTATCTAGAAAATGAATGAGCTCATCAATCGGGAGGCTCGGTGGGGTATAGCAGCTGTAGAAATTGATTCCATCAGCCTTAGCCCTGACAAAACTATACTCGTTGCTACTCGTGGTGCACTGGAAAGGTCGGTTTCCACAAGCCCAGATGACGGTCGTCTTGGTGATGTCAGTAACCCAGGGTTGGGCGCCAATATGTTTATACGGCTCTGAGATAATGACAAGATCAAACTTCAGCTCCCGCACCGTCTGCATAAGCAGGTCGTGTGCGGTCTCACAATGTTTGAGGTTGAGCTGTAAGACCTTCATCGTCGTCTGTTGGTGAGCTTCTGAAGCGCGTCCTTGTATGCTGGACATCTACTACTACCAGCCACGTGAGCACAATTCTTTGCGCTGCTTTTCTCGACGCACAATGCGCATCGGGCATCCTTCTCACACACAGCGACCTTATGGTTACCTTCTCCGCACTTAATACAGAGACTGGACCGGTCCACTTCATTCTTGCACTGAGGGGCAGATGTCCATAATGCCAGCAACTGAAACATATGGTTGGTCTCTCCACTACTCTAATTCGGCAGTTTACCCAGCCAATCCTGATCTTACCGCGGTCTCTCAGAACGATCTTTACCGTCGACGACGGCAGTGTCACCAAGGCAGTCTGAGTCCCCCCATAGGCTTTGCGAAGAGACTTGACGGCATCCAACGGGATTTCGCACGCTTTTCCGGCTGCTTCTTGCAGGGTTGCGTGAATTTCCTCCGTCGTCATTTCATCAAGATCACGGATCTCGTCTTGCGGTCAGTTACTGACCATCTCAGCGTCCTCTCCAAGGAGTTCAGCGATGATTTTTTGAAGTCCATGGCCTCCATCTTTATTTTTCTTGGTGAGAATGATCAATCGATCTCTAGTGGCCGTTCTGCGGACCTTATCGACCAAGGTACGGACCTGATCATCAGGGATGTCCTTCTTCACCAATCTGACTATGTCAGCATATTTTTATTTCTCTTTTGGCCGGACATTCAGCGCATTGGGCTTGGTCACTGATTTGCGCGTTCCCTTCTTCTGCTGGGGCTGCTTCTGTTGTTGCCTTGTAAGCTGCTTCAGGGGTTGGGTTGTAAGTTGCTTCTCCTTTTTCTTCTTCTTGACCTCTTGCCAGTCCGTACCCTTCTGCGATTCAGCTGGCGTCTTGGCGGGTGGAGTTGGTCCTGCCTCTTTCCTCCTCTTCGACTCCTGAGTCTCTAATAGCGACGTTCGCTGTCTGCGTTTCGCCTTGTGAATCTCGCGATCGTCTCCAGTGGTGGATCCATTTTCATCGTCGACCTCCGTGTCCTTCGCTGACATCTCAGTGATTTTGCGGCCAAGCACTTGCATACAGTGCTGTCTGTTGGGCATGATGTCCATTTCTCCCTCCTGCATCTTCATTTGGTTTATTTGCTAGATTCATCATAGTGTTCCCACGAGTACCTAGGGAAATGACTGTCCACTCTAACAGAGTCCCGGTTGCCGGAGTAAGGCCACTTATAATACACCCGGGGTGGGACCTGGTGCCCCGGGGACCACCGTTTGCGACCCCAACTACTCCTGGCGCCTTCCAGAGCTCGGCACGGTGAACACCTTGACATTGGGATGAGGCTGCTGTTGGGAGCCCACCCTGCACTCCACTTTTTCAGTTGGGATACGTCGTGTCTTGAACTGCTTCTTAGTTTAGGTACATCCCTGAAGCCCCTCCACCGTCGACAAGGTCCTGCAGTTCCCAGGAGGGTGTTTTTTTTTTTTTTTTTTTTTTTTTTTTTTTTTTTTTTTTT